GCTAACACCTTCCCTTTTCATAATCTACCCCCCGAACTCAAAAAAATATCTCAAAGGTCTTTCTTGTTCTTTTCACCCTTTCCTTGTTGGATAAAAGAAAAGTCAGTGGCGACTCTTGCTATCCGCAACAATTGCGATCAAACGCAAAACACCCAAGTCAATTATCCCACCGTATTACAGTCTTAAAAAGAAGCCTTGTGGAAAGATACACCTCCCCCGCAGGTCATCAAATATTCTCTTCAACAGGGTTGATTTCCACAATAAATGGCAAATTACACCCAACTTGAGTTGGCCCCTCAGACTATCACAAATCAATGGACAAAACCCATTAATCCCCGATAGAGTCATTTCAATCCTTAACAGAGTCATTACTATCCCAGTAAGTTATTGTGAAGCCTGGAACCCGACCAGATAACAGTTGACTCCATTCCTTTAAAGCAAGTTACTCCAAAGCCTGGAACCCGACCATATAACAATTCAACTTTGTCCTTTCAAGCAAGTTACTATGAAGCCTGGACCCGACCAGATAACAGTTTAACTTCATCCTTTCAAACAAATTACTATGAAACCTAGACTCGACCAAATAACAGTTGATTCAATTTATTGTAAAGCCTGGACCCGACCAGAACACAGTTCGAGTTGCTGAATCCTGTACCCGACCAGATACCAGTTAACCTCAAGTTCCAAATTACTGCAAAGCCTGAACCGACCAGAAAACAGTTTGAGTTACTGAAACCTGGACCCGATCAAATAGCAGTTTAACCTCCTCAAATCATTGCTGAAACTTGGACCCGGACAAATAATAGTAAGTCTCAAATTCAAGTTACTAAAGCCTAGACCCGACCAGATATTAGTTCAACTTCTCCAATTAATGAAACATGGAACCGATCGGATATCATTTATTCTCAAGTTCCAGTTACTATGAAACCTGGACCCAACCAGATAATAATTTAACTTCTGCAAATCACTAACAAAACTTCTCTTCCCCAGTAGAGTTTTCCACAATCCCTAGTGAGTTGTTGTAAAGCCTAGAAATCGTCCCGATGATAGTTAATTTCTTTATCCCCAGTAAGTTTTTTGTGAATCCTGAAATTTGTCCAGATAACAACTAAACTTTCTTCCTCTCCAATCAAGGGATAATTCCCTACTAGAGCAGCAGACAGCTAGAAATCCTGAGCTCTTTCCCCCAAGAAGAAATCAACACTCTCCACAAAGCCTTCCCAAGCAAAGTCAATATTCCCGAGCAGATTTCTTCTCAACAAAGCAGGAATCTCCAGTGGAATCATTTTTAACAAAACCTGAAGATACACATACTCTTCATATCCAACAGTAATCTGAGATTCAACTTCTCAAAACTCCCCAATATCTGTCAAGGATATGCTTCGACAACATGTCGCATTCATACATCCTATAACATGCATAACATATACATACAACATAATCTCATTTATCTTGAGAACACCATTATACCATGCATACATTCGCATACAGCTAACCCCTTGTTTCCTTGCAGAAAAATCATTGATCCAAAGACCTCTTCTGAATCAGAATGAATTTTTCCAGTTTTCAGCAGGAATCGACCAAAGATTTACGCTGATGTTTCTTCCAGTTTCTACCATCATCTCTCTAAATGGAGTCTATAAGCCCATTCCTGAATCAATACATCATCGAGTGCAAATTTCTGGGCACTCTAGTGTTCAATCATCTTTCACCTTCAAGCTACGAATGGCAGATCTGCCAATCTAACTCTTCAGGTTTAAGAATATTGAACAGGAGCCGCTATTGTACCCCAAAATTTGCCCTCTCTTTTTTAAGGATTCTCAAGGAATTGATCAGACAAAATCATCTCTGAAGCAATGAGACTCCGAAATTAGGGTTTCGAATGAGAATGACTAATCTTTGATTTTCGACCCAATACATGAGTTATTGGTTCGAAACATGATCTCAGGGGTTCAAATACATCATTTTGACCTAATTTCATATTTCAATTCATCCCCCAATTGACAGATGAAATGTGGTCAGCTGATGAAAAAGTCGATTGTACACTGAAAAGTCAAACTTTTGACTTTTGATCGAATTTGAGTTTCAAAAAATCACATTTCATCAAGATAATTCAAAATATGAAATTTGATCATAAAAAATCAAGAGAGTAAAAAATCCAACTTTGCAAGGCTTAGAAATTTTTCTAAGAACTTGTATATTTGTTATATTCATTGCTTCATGACATCTTTTCACTATAATTCAAGATGTTACAAATAATGCAAGGTGTTACAAATAATTCAAGTTATTACAAGGTTGCATTTTTTCAAATTTACAAATCCTAAAGCTTTGTCTTGTTTGAATTTTTTTTCCTTTTGACTCAAAACCTTGTCATTATGCTTTATCTTTGTTACAATCTGCATAAATTGGTCCACAAACTAGATTTTGTACCATGCTACAATATGCTGCCAAGTCCAAGCCTGCTTACTACAAGCTCCAAATCATGTTTAGAAGACAGTCCATTATCCTGAACAAAACAACCCTGCTATGCTATCTCTAAACACTGCCACAACACTCCAAAACTGCTGCAAAACAACCCTGCTATGCTGCTCCTAAACCAGTCCAAGCCTACATTATCCCATCCTCATATTTGCACATAATTAGCACATAAGAGCTGCATCAAAAAGCAATGGAACAGTATACCCAAACAGTTCAAATTGTTATTTGTTTCCCTCCCAAAATCCTAGCAAAACTCATCTACAAATAGATTGTTTTCACAACACACAAAGGGTGGATTTTTAGAAAGAAAACGAGAGAACGGAAAAAACGGAATTCTTTGTAAACTCTGCTCATTCACAAAAGACCCTTGCTCATACTCATCTTGATTCTCAGTTACAAAAACATAACCTCAATCCATTATTCCATCTTATAAACTCTCCCATAAATCAACCAGCCAAACACTTCACATTACATGGAGATTGTTCAAACATAAGAACAATTTTTGTGGTGCCATTATCTTCCCCTTCCAAACACAAAAACAGTACTGTACAACTTGACTAGGTTGGTGTGGTTCAAAAAGCTTGGAACAATTTCCTGGAGGTTCACTAAGGCCCTCACAACATCTTGAAAAGTATTCAGATTCAAAACACCAAGTGCAGTCCCAAGGTAAGTCTTCTTGACTTTGCATTTTTTCATACATCACTAATGATTTATTTTTGAAGATAAAATGTAGTAATCATTGCCCCTGAAGCTAACCATTTGCTTGCTATTTTTTTATTATCAATCATATGCTGTGAACTGACTTGTACAGACCATAAAACAATGTTAGAACTAAAAAACTGCAGCATGAGTCGACACATACCCATATGGGTCGACTCATCCTAGTGAAAAAATAGGGTATGAGTCGAAAGATGGCCTTATGCATCGACTCATACTGTTATCCAGGCCCCAAAACAGAAGGATGAAAGGTACATGAGTCTACACAAAAAGTGTATGTATCGACACAAACAGGTGCATGAGTCAACACATCCTATTATACATCAACTCATATTGAGTTGATTTTGTTTTACAGAAGCAAGAAGAGTTATGTGTCGATGCATAGCAGCACGTGTCGACACATAATAGTTTAAAATGCATTTTTCTTTTCTTTTTACACTGTTTTTACATTTCCTTTATATTTTCTTCATTGTTATTCGATATGGTTGTAATATTTAAGTTTCTACTTTATCCCCATTTATAAATTGTACCCCCATTCCCCTAATGATGTAATAACATAGTGTTGCAACTGGTTTTAAATAAGAGTCATCACCCTTAAGTTTTATCCTAAAGGAAGGGAGTATAAAGGAATAACCCTAAAAAGTTCAGAGATTCTAGGCCTGACTCAGTTCTAGATGAAGGTAAGGTGTTAGGCACCCCTCATCTACCTTGTTCACAAGGATACTAGGTTTAGAAGTGCTTTTTAAGAAAATAGGGTTTTCTGTTTTATTAGTGGAGAGGTTTTAATTTTAATCAGGGGGAAAAGGGGTTTGTTTTTTAATTAGTGGGACTTGCCAGAATTTTTGATCTCATGCCTACGTATCCTCTTAGGAGGAATCAGAGTCTCATTTCATAGTTCGCAGTTGGTTTGTATTTTTTACGGATTACGCAGATGTTTTAATTTTCCCCGCACTTAGGTCGAATGTGTAGATAGCGGAGATTTTGAACTAAGCGCGAAGTTAATTAAAAAGACTCTTTGTATCCTTTTTGAAAATTAATTTTTTGATTTAATTTATTACAAAAATGGTTTGACGTTTGTTTGTGTATTTTTTAGCCGTATATAGCTGAAGAGTCTGATATAGGCCTCTTATCATGTGGTCAGATATTGGCCACATGTCGCTTATGAGTATTATAGTTTAAATAAAAATGCGGGGTTCTAATATTTGGGTATAAAACATTAACCCAAATTGTGTCGTGAAAATTATTTTTAAGTGTGAGGCTTTTAATATTAATAAACCATATATCTATTAAGTCTAAAAAAATAACTAATTAATTATGATAATAAGTAAATAATACATATATGAAGTTATATTTATTAAAGCAATAAAATATAAATAAATAAATATAGAAATATAATTAAATAAATAAATATATAAATAAATTTATATAAAAAAAAACATAATTAGAAAGGGGGTGCGATTTATAGTGAATTAGTAAAATGAGGGGGTGTGTACAGCTGAGGGGCCTGAATTCAGATTTTGAATTCAGGCCCAAAATAACCAGGGGTGCAAAATTCTCTATATGTTAGTAAAATAAAAAAGGTAGCGTGCTGTTAGCGATTGGGCAAAGCCCAAAGACAAGTTAATATGGATTTGTTGGCTAGCATGTAGGTAGGGACATGGTGTTACTATAGACACGCGCAAATGAGCCATTTGATGGCAATCAGGTGAGTGTGTTTTGAGGGCGCGTGACATCTATCGCGGGGGGAACGCATTGAATCATTTTCCTTAATATATTCTTATTTCACAAAACAAAAAAAATCAGCAACACCCTTTGTTTCTCTCCCAACGAACTCTTTCCTTCTTCTCTCTCTTTCCCTTTCCAACCATTAACCCTAAACCAAAACTCTATCCAGCGGCGGCGGAGGCCTTTAACCCCCACCTAACTCAAACAAACAACCCAAACCCCATACCAAAAAAAAAACAAACTAAGTTTGACAAGTCCCTTGCCTCTGTTCCGACTTTGCTAATTTTCGAGTTTATGATCTTTGATCGTTCCTTCTTTTTTTGACAAGAGAGGCGAGGGCGGGCGAGTTAAAGAGCGGTGATGGAGGCAATGATGTTTTGTGGCTCCTTCTTCGAATCCATAAAAACTATTTTTTTTCTGTATAATTTTCGCTTTTCCCTTCTAGTTTTGATTTAGGCCTCTTTATAGTGTTCTTAGAAACAATAAATTAGGAAGTTAATAAAGTTGTTTGTAATTTTGTTTATGAAATTCAATTTGTTCTATTTTTTCCAGATTTGTAATGAACAATGACGAATCCGCGTTTTTATAAAAATTTAATTTTGTTTCTGCTTTTGTAAGATGTTGTCTTCTGTATTTTATTTCACTTTAAGGAATATTTCTAGAATTAAAAGAATTGCCTTAAGTTTCTTGATTTTGTCTAGTTAAGGATTGTATCTGCGTGATACTGCATTTGAATTGCTGTAAATGAATGTAAAGTTGGAAAAAGTTCAATTGGTAGTTTTTTAATGAAACAAAGCCTACATACTTGCTGAATCAAAACAGTAGTTGTTAGCTTACAAACTGAGCCATTCGCTTTCTCCAAAAATGGGCCAAGTTGATTTTGTTTTGTTTTTTATAAAAAAACTTCTTCAATTAAAACTTAAAATAAAACCCAATATCCTTTTAAAAATACAATTTTAATCTAAAAAGGAGTTATAATAAAACAATGTTTCATAAATGAAACAATTCTCTAAACCGAAAAAAAGAACTAACCAGGTTGTAACGCCCCATTGGGCCTTAGCAACAACACAAACTAATCAACCCCCCCAGATTTTGACGTACCTCTTTTTCTTCAGAAAGAAGTGGGCTTGCCCTATTGGGCTTTGTGAGACTCTTAGCACTTTCCTTTAACCAAAAACCCAACATTATTTTTATTCAAGTCTTTAATACAAAGTTTTAATTAATAAAAAAATGATATAATTAATAATGGTAAAAAAATAATAACGTTAGTGTAACACGGTGGGAGAACAGGAAAGACCTTTCGAGATTATTTCTTGAGTTCGGGGGGTAAATTATGAAAAGGGAAGGTTTTAGCACCCTTTTCATCCATAGTTATCTATGGGCTCTTAGTTGCTTGATAGATCACTTGATTTTGTTTTAAAATGTGCTTGTGGTGGTTTTTGAAAGTATTTTTGAAAAGCGCCTTTGTTTATGCAAACTTTGTAATGATTCTCGTCTCTATAAGAATGTATACAAAGTGTTGGACTTTTGAAATTTTTTCATGTTTTGAAAGTGTTTGGTGTATTTGAAAATATGTTTGTTTTGAAAATGAGCAAGCAACTATGAACGTTTCTACCTACTCAAAAGTCTTTTGTTCTTCTACTCCTTTAGATGTTGCTTTCTTACCATTGGTTTGGTAAGAAGTCCCATCATTAGATGTAAAGGGACAGACGTGTGTCATCGCATAGTCATGATATAAATGTTGTGAGATATCTTAGTATTTCTCTTGAGGGACTAAGATCATTTGTAAGGCAACATTCGAAGTGTCATCGAGGGACTATGATCTTGTATATTTGATTGTTTTCGCTAAGATATCTCACATGCATAAGATGACCATGTTTCATAAGGCAACAAGTAGAGTTAACCCTAGGGGTGCATGTGTGAATAGTGTTTGTATTTCATGCTTGGTTTATCTTGGATTAGTGTTTGCTAAGATTGATTTTATCTTCCCATATAAATCCTAATTACTAGCATTTATATGAAAGCGATAAATTGCGAAAATGTAAATATCCTATGCTATTACAATCAATTGGGGATGGGGTGTACAAATTTACAAATGGGGATTGCAAGAAATTAAAGTCCTAATTATCTATTGCAACCATATTGAAATAATATACAAGAAATGTAAAATAGACTTATTTTGTTTTGGTTAAGAGAAGAAATAAATTTGCTTAAGAAAATATTTTTTAGTCTTTTGTTTTAAAATAAATAAAAATAGAGCATGTGAATATAAAGTATTTTTTTGGTGTTTTTGATTAATGAAAATAAAGTGATGATAAAAAAACAAAAAAAGGAATGAGAGTCAGAATCAGCGTGTTGTTGAAAGAGGAGAGAGCAGAAGTTCTGGCTCTGGTGCGCTACAAATCAGAAAGAAGATGTTAGCAGAAATGGGGAAGACCAGAAGTTCTGGATCCGGGTGCACTAGAGGAAAGCCTAGAAATTCTGATCGCTTGAGAGAGCCTAGGAGTTCTGATGCAACTGGAAACCTAGAAGTTTTAGCATTACTGGAAGGTCAGAAGTTCTGGTTGTTGAAAGAGTCTATAAGTTCTGGTGCAACTGGAAACCTAGAAGTTCTAGTGTTACTGGCAAGCTATAAATTCTGATGATGGGTCCGTGAGGTGTCAATGTTGTTGGATAGGTATATCTAGAAGTTCTGGTCCATGATCACTATTTTGGAAATCAACTAAGGGGGGGTTATATAGAAGATCTGATCCAGGATCAGAGTTTGATAATTAGTGGGGAAAAATGTCAAGAAATAAACTTAAAAAGGTGTTTCTGGGGCTAGAATCCAGGACCCTTAACACTAATTTCTTATGCGCGCGCTCTCTACCACTGGGGTAGCTATACATATGGTATTAGAAACAAAAACATAAACATGTATCACAATGTAAGTTCTGATGATGAACTTCATCTCCTTCTCCACGCCAACAAAAGCATCTGCAACTTAATTATTTCTCAACAAGAATGACGAATGCAAACATAACAGTTATGGCAAATTTCATCATGGTTTCAGAAATATAAAGCATAAGAACTGTAAATCAGAAGCAAGCATGAATCTGGCTAATTCTAATTCCAAAACCTAATTTCCTCAAGAAGTTCTGATATGAAATTCTCTCTACTTAGGCCATATACATGAAATCTATAAATATGTATAGAATCAGAGTCATGATGTCTTCATTGTATCTTTGGAAATGCAAACCTAACAATGCCTAGGTAATGAGATAAAAGTCAAAAGAAACTTACCTTGTAGCTGGAAATCTTTGTGTGAATTAGAGCCTGGTTCAGGTTATTATGATGTTCTGATCAGCTTCCTCAAGTTCTCAGAAAGCTGAAGCAACTCTTATCTTGAGCTATGAATGATGGGAAAGTTCTGGTTTAGTCAAGGTGCAAAAATCTGGTTTTTTGAAACATGGAGTGGTGAATACTTTTTTACAGTTTGAAAACAGAGGTTGGGAAAGCTTCTATGTGTATTATAGAAACCGTATGGATAATTTGGTCCAGAAAACACACAAGAAAAATTATAGTTTGGATGAAGAAATCAGAAGACTAACAGGTTTTGTGTTTATGCTTGCAGTTTCAAGTTTTTGGGATTTTTCAACACGGTTTCAAGGCTTTTTCAATGTTTTTCTCGGACCCTTTAACAGTTACAAATGAAGCTTAATTTATAGACAAGGGATTTAGAAGCTTGGAGAAGTCAAGAGTACAACCATCATGTGTTATGGATAGTTGACTTGTTTTTGGAGCAAGTATTGACAAGTAAGGTTCAAAGAAAAATAGAGTGGTTAGCAGCTTTAGCCGCGCCTAATCTGATTTTGTAGGCATGATTTATGGAGAAGTACACTCAGAAGCAAAAGTAAGGTATGGGCCCAGCATAAACTTTGTACAAAAGTCTACTTTTCAAGGACATCAATGGTACTTTCATGCCACACGTGGGAAGATCCTTTGGATAAAGACTCAAAAGTGGGTGTGAGCATTAAATGATGATGAGATTTAACAAGCAAGAAAATATACAACCTGAGATTATGAAGCCTAGCTTGAAACTGGAACAAAAGTTCAACACAAACTTAACTTGGATTAAGAACAAACGTCTATCTTCTGATCTTTGGTTCTCTCTGTTCCAGCATGATCTGAAGGAGTCTTCGGACTTTTCAAAAAGGTTGTAACATGCTTTGTAATCTCTCTTTGAATTTCTTTTGCAAATTCTGATCATACCGACATGAGAATTGGCCCAGAAGTTCTAACCAAATTCTGACTTGGAAATGCTCAGAATTTACTAAGTGCTTTAGCTTCATGGACATGTCTTCAAGGATTTGTAACTTGAAATCCCAGCGTTTCTAGGAGAAGTTCTGTTTTGCAATGTTTTAGATCTTGTTGAGATCTACAACTCTTGTGTCAGAAGTTCTTCCTTAATCTTCTTGCCTTATGATGAAAATCTGGCCAGAAGTTCTGAACTTATCATCTTTTCTTAACACTTAGAAAAAATTCGAAGTGTTTAGAAATTTTGACTTTTCCAAAGTAATTTTGACTTTTGATTTTCTTGATGAAACAAACTTCATATTCTAACATGTCTTGATGAAATATGATTCTTGAAACTTGATTTTGCTCCAAAAGTCAAAGTTTGACTTTTTAATGTGCATTTTGACCATTTTGCCCTTGTGCCAATTTCAAACCTAAATTGATGTATCAGTGTTGCAAACTTGAGCCATAGAAGATCTTGTGGGGAAATTCTTGAGAAATGAGAGGGAAATTTTTGGGGTACAACAGCTGCCCCTGTTCAATCTTCTTAAACTTGAATAGTTAGATTGGCGAGTCCGCCATTCGTGACTTGAAGGTGGAAGATGATTGAACACTAAAGTGCCCAGAAATTTGCACTCGATGATGTGTTAGTTGACTGTATAGGGAATGGGCTTAGAGATGCCATTCAGAGTGACTGAGGAGAGTATCAGGATAAATATTTTGTTTTATTTATACTGAAATGGTATATGTCTTATGCCTGTTGATTTTCCTGCAAGGAAGAATATTTGTTGCATGCAGATGTATGCATGGCGTAATGATGTTCTTAGAATAAATGAGATTATGTTGTATGCACTTGTCATGTATGCGTTATGGTTTTTGAATGTGATGCATTTATCGGAGCGTGTCTTTGTCTAGGAAAATAAATCCTTGACAACGTGTTAGGGACACTTGGGAGGCTGAATCCTGAATCGTTGTTGGAGAGCAGGTGCCTCCTCTACTTGGTTTATGAGGTTTCCGCTGGGAATTCCTATTCTATTATTGGAGGAGAA